AATGGGAATACATTTTAAGTTCAACAATCAGGAGTCCGCCTGGAGAGCATGAGAATACATTCAAGTTAAGCAATCAGGACCCCGCCTGGAGAGCATGGGAATACATTTCAAGTTTAGCAATCAGGAGCCCGCCTGGAGAGCATGGGAATACATTTCAAGTTTAGCAGTCAGGAGCCCGCCTGGAAAGCATGGGAATACATTTCAAGTTCAGCAATCAGGAGCCCGCTTGGAGAGCATGGGAATACATTCAAGTTTAGTAGTCAGGAGCCCACTTGGAGAGCATGGGAATACATTCAGTTCAACAATCAGGAGCCCACCTGGAGAGCATGAGAATACATTTCAAGTTCAGCAATCAGGAGCTCGCCCGGAGAGCATGTGAATACATTTCAAGATCTGCAATCAGGAGCCCGCCTGGAGAGTATGGGAATACATTTCAAATTCAGCAATCTGGAGCCCGCCTAGAAAGCAGGGAATACATTCAAGTTTAGCAGTCAGGCGTCCACCTGGAGAAAGGAAAAACATCTCAAAGTGTAGTTGGCAGTCAGACATCTACCTAGAGAAAGGGAAAGCATCTCAGATTATAATTCAAATGGCAATGAAAGAACTTCACCGGGAGAATACAAGTCAACAAGGCAACAAGAACCACAAGATCAAGTTTGAAGATATAGATATGGCTTTTGTAATTCATAGATCATAGTTTAGTCTAGCTTCTTTTTATTTTGTCATGGTGTAATAAGGGGTTCAGTAAGCAGTAGCAACAACAACAACAACAACAGTGAAGTCACAGCTTCATGGTAGTCCCAGCTACCGAAACTTCCCGAATTACACTGACCTAATTCCTTTATAGCCAATGATATGTAGGCAACCTCGGAAGCAGGGTGCGGTCAAATCTTTCAAAAAATGCTGCCCACAGAGTATTCAAACGGGCAAAAATCGCTCGTATCCGCTCACTTTATCTTTGCACGAAAACTCTTCGCGTTTCCGAGCAAAGAGGGGCAGCTGTGAGCACGTGTTTTTTTGCCTTATATGAAAATAACTCCTAAAAATAGACCAAACATAATTTTTATTGATTTTAGGAATTTTTCTTTATTTAATTGCATTTCATGCATTTTTAATATTTTTAAATCATAGAGAAAATCCTAAAAATTGTCATTTTTACATATTTAACTTTTAATCTTTTAAATTAGCATTTTTTCTTTAGTTTTAAGTTAACTAGTTGTTTTTAATGTTAAAAATAAATAAAGAATTTTAATTTCTACAAAAATAGATTAATTTAGGATTTTAATTAATTAAAGAAAAGAAAAAAGGAGAAAGGAAATTAGAAAAGAGTTTAATTTGAATTTGGACCAAACCCTATACCCAAATCTACCCAAGCCCAAACACAATACCCAATCTCCCTACCCAAACCCGCTTGACCCGACTCGCCTGACCCATTTTTCCCATCCCCTTTCATTCAAAGACCTAGACCTAAATACACAGATATGGGGACCCCAAGCAACAGACCTAGACCTAAATACACAGCTTCTTCTTCTTCACGTAAAAACACACACACATTAGAGATTGGAGAGCGGCCTCCCATCTGCTTCGACGCCAACAAAAAGCATGTCATCTCCTCCCCTATTTGGATTTCTCTAAAGAGCAGAGAACGAATCGAACCCCCTTCCATCTCCGAACAAAAAAAAACCAGTAGCAGTACCCTCGTCCGTCCACCCCCTTGAACCTGAAATCAACCCCAAAAAGACCACCAGCCTCAACCCTCCGTTTCCACCCAAAAATCCGCCGGAACGGACTACCCCCAAAACGCATGAAATCAGTCCCAAAATTGCAGCAAACTAGCTGCGAAAATAGCAGAAACGCGGCTGGAAATCAGCACAAAAGCGCTCAAGAACAGTCCAATGTCACGTCTGTTCCGTTTCTTCTCTTCGATTTCGATTTTTTGCTTCATAATGGACTTGAGTTTTGACAGAATTTGAGGTGTTCGGGTTTGATATTGGCGAGAGCTTTTTGTGAGTTTTGTTTTCTTTTTCTGGGTTAAAGTCGAGTTCATAGCTGTCTCGCTGAGTTCGAATCTGTTGCGGCTGAGTTTTCATCTTGACGATGCCTTGTTGTTTTTCACATACTGGCCCTTATTTGGTTCACCTTCCTTGTTTGACTTAGTTGAGAGGTACACAACTGTAAACTTACACTTTTCTGGTTGAATTAATTGAAATTGGCTCATGTTCATTCCCTACTCCTTCTATTTTCTTTTACGACCTTGATGAATGGGACGGTGCTAATTTGTTTATGAAAGAGTGGCTAGGATCTACATTTGTTAATGCTGAGTTTGTGGTTGTTTTGTTGTCTAAATTACTGATAAGCATTCTGCATATCCATGACCATAAACTAATGATTATACTGATTTTGGAAAGTTGGTTCAGTGTTTTATTGATGGGTCGTCGTATAGTTGCTTTGTAAAATCAAGTACTGTCGTGTAGTTTAAAATAGTTGTGATTCAAGCTTGTTTATAATTGTTATTTTACACGGTCGTGTAGTAACTCTTTGGGCGATGAATTTGCTACAGGGTTGTTTCTATTACCAACTCAGACAATAGTTGAATCTTGAATTTCATTGTATCATATTCCTATATACCATTTGTCCGAATGTGGGCCACTTGGAGTAAAGAATCCTAATTTGAACTTTTGTTTTCCTTTGAGACTAAGGTTTGCTTTATGGTAAGGGGATTTGTAATAGTAACTGTATCAGTTGGTATGGCAAGAATTGGTCGAAGAATTTGTGAAATTAGAAGTGAGAAGAAGTAATATTGGTAAAATGGCGTTTGTTTTTTGACTGCTAATGTTTCTGATTGTTGACTTCAAGAATGACTTTTCTACTTCTCTATAGACCATCGAACATTTATCGGAAGTTTGGTATGATATCTTGAGATTTCCTCTTGTAATGTTTCTTGTTTCCCTCTTGATTGCATGGATAATTTTGGGTGCTCTTTTATGTGCATTTAAATCTTGGAGAGATGAAGTTGTTTACGGCAGGCATTGCCATGAATTTTAATTGTCTCATAAGCTTGTGTTGATCATTTTGCCTTAGGTGATTAACATGTTAAAATAATAATTTGAGGCGTGTCATGCCAAAGAAAATCCCAAACTCATGGCCCTCACTTAATTAAGTTTAACTCTTTAGAAATTGAGGTGTGCCATTAGTGAATCTTCCATAGCCCCCGCAAACTTGAAAGTGCGTAGTTGCTTTAGGCGCACAATTTAAATTAATTTACCTTCCTAAACTTGGGTGCGCATTTATGTGACCCAAATCCAAATCTCAACAACGTTAGACAAAATGTGTTGCGGACCGCGGGTGCATTTATGTGACGTGGTTCAAGACGTATTTTAAATGACGTTGCAATCTTCCTTAAAAATGAATAAAAGTGGTTAAGAAGTTAAAATTGAATCATAGGTTAAAACATGTACTAAGCATCAGATAATAGGCCAATTATAACAGTTGAGCGACCGTGCTAGAACCACGGAACTCGGGAATGCCTAACACCTTCTCCCGGGTTAACAGAATTCCTTACCCGGATTTCTGTGTTCGCGGACTGTAATACAGAATCAACCTTTTCCTCTATTCGGGATTTGAACCGGTGACTTGGGACACCATAAAATTATCCCAAGTGGCGACTCTGAATAACTGAATAAATCCCGTTTCGATTGTCACTTTAAATTGGAAAAAAAAAACTCCCTTATATACTCCCTTCTCGGGTGTAAGTAAAAAGGAGGTGTGACACCAAACAATATTAAACACTGGAATACAAATTCTCAATTAATTATATTGTCAACGTGTTATCCACACAATCACCAATTGTAATATTGTATCCTCCTTTCTCTTATAAAATCCCCCCAAACTGTGTTCATCACAAATACAAGAAGAACTTGCTTTAGTGATTAAACTTTCTTTTACAACAAATTAAAGATCTCTCATTTCCAACAACAAAAAAAAACATGTCTTGATGCGGAGGAAGCTGTGGCTGTGGATCTGGCTGCAAGTGCGGTAGCGGTTGCGGAGGGTAAGTTCTGATTCCGTACTATCATTCATTATTTTAAGCTACAAATATCGAAATCTAGAGTCACTGGGTTCATAATAAGCATCATCTTATTATATGTATAAACTTTAATTCTTTTTCGCATGTACTGTGTATACATAAATTTCGTCAAAAATACTGTAATGAGTTTAGACAGGATCCACCATTAATTTGCCCGGGTGCCTGACCCCTTTTTTTTCTTTCTTCTTCACCCCACCAGAAAAATTATATATATTGGAATCTCGTATATATNTTTCATCTAATGTTCCTGTTCATGCTTAAAAATATGAAAGGAAATGTTTGCATGTGATTTTTGGAGAGAAAGAACCTTATTTATTTGGGTTATTAATTTTTATATGTGTTTGGCTAGTTTTGGTACGTCTATGATTAATGACTAGATGTTAGTAAGTTAGGACTTATTAGGGACATTTCCGTAAGATTCTCTTTTTTAAATGAGTTGGTTATGCCAAATATACTTTTAGGAGCCATAATTTAAATACGAAAATAAATTAGAAAAGTTAACACAAAAATTAAACACACAAATGAAACACGAAAATAAAACAAATAAAGTAAACACAAAAATTAAGCACTAAAATGATACGCAAACATTAGATATTAAAATTAGAAGATGGAATGAGTGCACCGTGATTAAATATTGAAACTTAAACCTGACGAATTAATTTGGAGCTTGAAAGTTGGTCCAAAAATTTGCCCAAATACTTGAAACGTAGTTGATTATGAGAAAATTGAGAGAAGAATATAGATAGAATGTTAGAGATTTGAGAGAGAATGATTGATTTTTTTGGGAAATGAAGAAGGACGAGGATATTTATAATTAAAAATAGGGCCAAAGTATAATTTAATAAACTTAGGGATTAAATTCAAAGTTTAGGAGGGAGGGGAGAGGGAGGGAGGGGTAGGGGCCAAAAATGACTTTTAATAGCCGTTGCCAATGACTAGTTTTGAAAAAAATGCTGTTGGCCAACGACTCTTTCTTAACAAAAATAAAAAATTTCACGCGGGCTGGCGGGATGGGACGGGACCTTAACGGGCCGGCCTACCGGGACAAAATGGGCAGCCCGTCCCATCACATGTCCCGTTTAATATTTAGTGGGATGGGATGTGACGGGATTGGGATGAGCCGGACCGACCCGTCCTATTGCACAACCATAGGTATGGGTAAGTTATGCCTACACTCCACCCTTCTCATACCCCACTTGTGTGGGATTAGAGTGAATTTGTTGTTGTTCACCTATTCTGCCGAATTTGCCCCTATTGTTATTTTTTCTAACTCATTTATGCCCTTGAAACTAACCTCCCTATCTGGAATTTAAAAAAAGTTTAATTATTTATTACGTGTCATATTTCTATTGGCTAAATTTAAAACCCCAATGCATATCCATTTTATTAAACCCACGCCATGACCCAAAGATCCATACCCATGACCCGGATGTTATTAAAAAACCTAAACATCCAAAGGGCGTACAAAATTTTCAATCACCGAATTCACCACCTCCAGCAATGACTGCATACAACTCCTCGCCATCTTTATTTTGGATTCAATTAAGTAGAATTCCTTAAAACCTTAACCTTAGATTGAAGCAAGGTTTTTTTTAAAGGGTTAGGGTTGTGGGAATTAGGGACGACGAGTTTGAGAATTTGAAAGAATTTTGTGATTCTATTTCTCGTCAGACGTTAATGCTGTCATTGATTATCCGTCTTTCACGCAAAGCCAATTAGCTGGGAATTTTCAGGAAATATTCATTCAAGCGGAGCATGCCTTTTGAAGCGAAGCGAAGGAAAATTGACGGTGAACCTCCACGTAAGGCTATCATTCCACCACCTAAAAGAAGAGCAACAACCTCTAGCCATAAACCAGTAGTGGTGATTGGTGAACAAACAAGCAGCATCACTAATCTCAGGCTACAACAGGCTAAGAATTCAGCACTAGCTCAAGCACAACAAGACGCCTGCACTGGCAATTTCAGGATCTTTGATTCTCCTTTTGGGAATTTTCTTGTACCTGTAATTCCAACTCGTGCTGAACTAACCCATTAAGTAATGGTAATTTTTCACCCACCAGCACCTTTATTGTATACTTTGCATAAATTGTAGTAGACAGTAAATTCTGACTTATTCATATTAACGCGTAGAAACCTGATTTTGTTTTATGTTCATTTTTTGCGGCCTTTAATCTGATCTTGTTTATGCATATTTTTAAAAAAAATTACATTGTGGCAAATGTTTAATAAACTTCTCGAAAGAACTTGGGATTTTCTAGGTTCAGGCATTAAAGTTAAGAAGAAGGTCTAATAAGTTAAAGTATTTGAAGTTCATCCAAATGTTTCATGGCCATGTAGTTTTAGAAACAACATATGCTCGTCTCACTGTCTAAAACTAAAATCAAAATAAGTTTATTATTATTGAATTATTCACGTAATTGAACTGACTAATTTTACGTGCTAATACAATAACTGATAAATTGAAAAAGGAAGGAAAAGAAAGCTACAACTAAGAAAGAAAAACTAGGGCAAAGATAATACAGGTTTCATTCATAGCTCTGAAAATGGCTAACTCAGTGTGTGTGCGTGTGTGTGTGTGTGTGTGTGTGTGTGTGTGTGTGTGTGTGTGTGTGTGTGTGTATGAAGAAGACACTAGGGACCAAAGTGAAATAAAGAAAATCTAGAATAATAAGTAACTAACTGGACTCAATTGTAAAGATGAAAACTTAGTTATTAATCAGCTACTTTTCATTCTAACACTCACATACAACTACTCAAACCCGAAGTACCAGCTCCCGCAAGCATTCCATTGCCTATCCAATTCCAGAACGTATCAAGTGCATAAGTGTATCACAAATTTGCTCTAACTAAATGGTAGACTTAGCACTTAGCTCTTGGATAGTTTAGAAGCTTTTCTTTTTTGTTCTGGCTTCAACATTGCTACATTTGATGCAATTATTTGTTGTCATACACTCATTAAGAACTGCATATATAACAGCTGTCATGCCAAAGTATCAGGATGTCACTCATTTGCTCACTATCTTTTGTGTCGGTTTGGCTTCTTGAAGAAAATACCGCACTAGTTGATTCAATGAAGACATTCTTTTTTGCCAAATTTCATGTGTGTCATTCCCCATAGTTTTTATTTTTTGGATGGAGATGGATTATTTGATCTTCTTTGAATACCTAAGCTGGGCTGCCTTGATTTTCTCTTTATTATCTTGATTGGAGGTTAAATGTATCACTTGCATAAATTTTTGATATTTCCTGCATTTTTTCTGTAACTCATGCTAGCAGGTGATGAAATCTTAGAATCAGATGACTTTTTCATAGCGTGGAATCTTGGAAATTTGGAAGATTACAGAGTAAAACAGGGATATGTCATTTAGCCAGAAGGTCCTCTACTTAAAGACTTCGCAAAGATGCTTGCGGTCTCCATGGCTAACAAAAACTTATTCTTTCTCAGACATTGTTCACAAGAAAACAAAGCTTGCTCCTCTACAGGTTCTTGATGCTTCCACTTCTCTCCCTCTACAAGTACTTCTTTAGATATACATACTCTTATATCCCAGTATTCCTTTGTCCGTTTATACAAGTTTCTTTACAGGAAAGGAGAATGATAGATCGCTTTCGTATATGGGCCAAAGGAGGTGATGGTGGCAACGGTTGTACCAGTATTCGTCGTAGTCGACATGATCGCCGTGGCAAACCTGACGGTATGTTCTCTAATCAGTTCATACCTCATGGGTGGTGGGGAGGCAATATGTAACTAGACTGCCATCTTCCATCTGTTCATCCTTTTCTTTCCCCTAATTGAAGTTTTATGTCCAGTTTTATTATCATTCATCTCTTGCATGCTCTTTTTCTCCTTCAATGTTTCTCTGTTAAAACATTGATTGGCTGTGCATTTCGTCCATTGGTTCTTCATAAGATCTTTTGGTTAACTATTATCTTTTACTCGACATGTTTGAAATACATAAGACACACTCACTGACTGAATTAACAATTAAGATACTATTGTTAGATAGTTACGTGTAAATAGTCCTAGTCCTATATATAGTAGGAATAGAATATGGCATAGTCCCACAAGTAACAGGAGTAGAATATGTCCTAATCCCATATGTAGTAGGAGTAGAAGATGTATTATATATAGGACTCATTGTATCATTGTTAATAATAGATTTTTCTCCCGTGCATTCTCACATGGTATCAAAGCTTCAGTGAGAAAATTATTGTTGTGCGTCATTCCAACGACATCCGGGAAGAAAGATCTCATCGCCATGCAATTTTCCGGCAACTTCGTCTTGTTCCCAGGGTTTATCACTGCTACAGTGATACTATGCATATATCAGTACCACCATTAGATCCAAAACCCTTGTGCGATCAAACCCCAAAAATTCCAGTCCCATCTGAACAGAAAAGTCAGTCACCGTGCGTCTTTCCGGTTGACGACTTAAGATTGATTTGTCGCCTAACTTTTCCAAACAAGATGGTAATGTCGACAAATCAACATTACCACCTCAGTCAATCGCTCTGGCAGAAAGCGCGTACTTCCACGCGTCGTCAGAACTAGGGTTCCGACGAGCTACAATAACTTTTCTGACGTGTGTGATCCATTCCGGCCACTTTTTGACAAAATTTCTTGAGGACAACTTGCTCGTCCAGTTATTCCGAGCCTACCCATATAAATTACATCAAATTCTGACAACTTTTATTTTTCCCGGCGTGAACAGTGATTTCCGCCGTGAACGGTAATTTCATAAAAGTTTATGTTTTCTTGTGGTGTTTTAAAACCTATTTTTTAGTGTGGAATTCGGCTTACTCTCACTATTTTAAAATTTTCCCGACGACCTTTTGGCCAACTTCTGCTTATCAGCAACCACTTGGTTTTGTTGCTCGGGGGGATCTAGTGGCCTTGTATTAGTACATATGTAACAAGCTCGGTACATATGATTTTTATGCACTGCCTTAGGGTGAGTGTTAGATAGTTATGTGTAAATAGTTCTAGTCCTATATATAGTAGGAATAGAATATGTCATAGTCCCACATGTAACAGGAGTAGAATATGTCCTAATTCCCATATGTAGTAGGAGTAGAAGATGTATTATATATAGGACTCATTGTATCATTGTTAATAATAGATTTTTCTCTCGTGCATTCTCACAACTATCAACCAAATCAAGACACTCACCAACTTACCACCATGGTAAATGGTTAAAGTTAGACATCCAATACATCAGATATCTAACCTGAATTTAAGATATCAACTATTTACCAGTGAAGATTGAACCAAAAACAACCATTCCTGCGGCTTTAGTCCCAAGACTAATTACTTCATCCGTTGGTCGGAAGCCTGAAGTACTTTTTTGTAGCAAAAATTCAATAAACAAAGAAAAGCAATTATTTGTATAGTTAGAATTGTCATATCCTCAAATATAGAAAAAAATAAATAAAAGAGAAACTCATACACCATAATTGAAAAATTAGCTGTGCTTTGTTTACTTGCCTTGAGATTGGCATGTTAACCTGACAGATGGAGAATAGTAATTTAATCTAATCTGCTTTATGCAAGTTGCTACAGTTAAAACTTTTATGAAGCCGGGAATTGAGAAAACTGAAGGTTGGGTTTATAATGAGCTGAAAATTGCAAGTTTGAGTCTTAGCGGAGAATCTTATGATTCAGGGGTAATTTGGTATGCAAGTGAAACCCCTCTAAAATACTAGTCATTCAGGGAAGTGGAAATTGCAACTTTATGTGTCATCGTTTGAAGCGCACATTTCTTTCCAGCACATGATTGAGTCTTTGTTCATAATTTCACTTCACTTCTGCCATTCTCCATCGCTGTGTGTTCCCCTTGGACTTCACTCCTGAAACAATTACCCTTGCGTCGCATCGCTTCATTGCTGTAAACAATGACTTATAATAACACTGGCTTAAGGAATGACTTTTCAATGTTGACCTCCTAATTAAGTTGCTCTACCTCTTTTTCCAGAGAATTTTCCCAGAAGGTTTATTTGTGCATTATCTTCCAACTCTGTTCTTTTGTTGTTTCTTATTTTCTTTTAATTTTCTTCGTACAACACCTTTTGTAAGTAACTCATTTAAGATATGCAGACAAGCTTGATTTGCTATAGCTACCAGTTGTAGGATTTCTCTCTTCTTACCTCATTTTTGTACTGGATGCAGGTGGGAATGGTGGAAGGGGTGGTGACGTGATATTAGAGTGTTCCCCTGCAGTCTGGGATTTGAGTGGTCTGCAGCATCACATTGTGTGTTTTCTTCCCTACTGCATGATGTCTGTTGCACACTTAACTTCTTTATTAATTGGATCGTCCATGTCATTTGATAGATATGTGTGGCATTTTGCATCTTGGTTACCTAATTGTTTGTGACATGTTTCAGAATGCAAAGAGAGGCGGAAGCGGGTCTTCCAAAAATATGATAGGAAGCAGAGGAGCTGACAAGGTTAACATTTGTCTCTCTCTTGATCTTCAGTCTTTGGCATATGTATACCATTTTTTTTAAACCAAACCTGAACTAAGGACGGCTTGCTTGTATGGTAGGTGATCCTAGTTCCTGTAGGTACTGTAATTCATCTAGTAGAGGGTGAACTTCCATCTGCAGTTGAGAAGAGTTCAAGTTCTGAGTTGGACCCTTGGGAGCTTCCAGGTACAGTTGATATTGAGTCGTCAGAGTTTTCTACACTATCAGTTCCGGCGTACCAAACCAGTTCAGAAGCTGAGAAGAAAGCCAAATTTAGTGGACGTCGACCTTCTGCTGGTGAAGAATCCACTACAGCAAGGAGAAGAAATTGTGCTTCGCCAATCAATTCTGGCACGAAACATTCACTTTCTAGAGGCAAATTCGAAAGTGATCATGATGATTTGAGCAATTGGGAGGAAGAAAGCTGTGGACAAATGGAAGATCAAGATGGTGAAGATGCTATGGGAACAGAATGTGAAGATGAGTTGGAAGAAACTGAACATATAGAATATGATGTGGCAGAGTTAACAGAACAAGGCCAACGAATAGTTGTTGCTCGTGGAGGGGAGGGTGGCTTAGGAAACCTGTCCAAGGGGAAAGCGTCAAAGATGATGCCAAAGGGAGCCAATTTTGATGATGAAGTATCTGATGATTATGATCATGCATCACTAGGTGCTGGCTTGCCTGGCTCCGAGGCGGTCCTTGTGTTAGAACTAAAGAGCATTGCAGATATAGGTCTTGTTGGGATGCCAAATGCCGGCAAAAGTACCCTCCTTGGGGCGTTATCAAAGGCTAAACCTACTGTAGGTGATTATGCGTTCACAACATTGAGGCCTAACTTAGGCAACTTAAATTATTTCGATTTTTCTTTAACTGTAGCTGACATCCCAGGACTCATAAGAGGAGCCCATGAAAATCGTGGGCTTGGGCATGCTTTCCTTCGGCACATAGAACGAACAAAAGTTCTAGCCTACGTGGTAGACTTGGCTGCAGCATTGGGTGATAACAAGGGAATACCACCCTGGGAGCAGCTAAATGACTTGGTTTTGGAACTCGAGTACTATCGAGAGGGTTTGACAGATCGACCATCCTTAGTGGTGGCTAACAAAATCGACGAAGATGGGGCTGAAGAGGTCTATAAAGAGCTAAAACACAGGGTGTCTGGTGTGCCCATTTTCCCAGTTAGTGCAGTCCTAGAGGAAGGAGTACCAGAACTGAAAGATGGTCTAAGGATGCTTATCAGTGGTGAACAATCAAACAGACTACAACTAGATGGTATAGTTCTTCATCAGGATTCTGCTTTTGTGAGCATCTAATCTATATTATTAGGAGATATCTGCTTCAGTATACTTTCCCTTGAAAATGTAATACCTTTTTTTTTCCACAATACCGTGGCAATTTTCTTCCGAGGAGGTAATTTTCTTTCTGACTTGGAATTATTTTGCGTACTTCTTGATTAGCATGTTATGAATAAACAATTATTAGTTTCATTTTCAGATTTCTCAACGGAGTTGAATCTATCGAAAGGCGGTTTCTTATAGGTAAGCAATGGAGTCATACTCAAGTAACCTTTAAATTATATATAATTGAAACTATCGAAAGGTGGTTTCTTATGGTAAGCAACAACGTTTGATAACGTTTAAGTTATATGTAAATAACTTAATATTGTATATGATTTATATTATAGTCCATGATGTCATGTAGCCAATCAGATTAGCAAATTGTAGTTGTAGTAAAAAAAGAATCTTCAAACTTTTTATCGTGTAAGAAAGAGTGATATGCTTCCCCTCTTTCGTAAAAGATATGTATTCTCCAAAAGCAAAAGGGGATTGATGATTGGTGAAATACCATCTTGAACGGTTGAAAATAGAAGTGTAAAAAGGAATCTGTTATGGGTATCTCATAGTCATCTCAAGACTCTTTTACCCCTCTGATTTGATGCATACTATTTTGTGTTCAAGCTCTTGCAAATATTTTTGTTAATGGATCAAAGGGAGAAATGGTTGAATCTTAGTTGATTGTGGCAGTAAGGTCACTTTGTTAGGTTTTTAAGTATTTGAATCACTGAGTAATTATGTCAAATTAATAATTCATTTGGGTTCCTACTACCATCAAATGAGATGATATTGGAGAATATAACAAAGACGCTTTCCCTCTAGTTGTTTTTTTGCGTAAATTTCAAGATTCAAAAAACTCTAAAAAGCAATACTTTGGAATGATTGAGACGGAAAATTGAGCAATTATTCAATCGAATAAAATAATTGGTCTATCCTATTCAAACACAAATCGCATCAGATAAAATATGTTAGATAGGCACTTTGGACAAGTCTCCCAAAAAAAGATACCAATTGGATAATGTTTTTTCTTCCTATATACGAAACTTTATTACCAAATATGTGCATAGTATCTAAATTACCTGCATAGTCCATATTTTTCCTACAATTTCTGTACCATTCGTTTATTAGGAATTAATAGGGCAAAATCTTCCCTTAATAACGCGCGAAAAATCAGGAAAGAATCTTGGGATTGATTGATTCTACATTAAATTCAAGTTTTGAAACGGAAAGGAGATTTCGCATCTGCGTAATTTACTCTTAAACTACAATTCAATTTTTTTTTAAAACAACTTCAACAAACTACGAACAACTTCAACAAACTGAATTCAAATTGTAGAATTCAAATCTTCGTGATTCAACAACTCAACATTGCTATATTCTGTTCTTCGTTGTTTTCAGAAATTATATTGGCGATCATATATCTGTTCTTCATCTTTTTTTTTCTCTCAATCTAGAAATCTAAAAAAACGAAAAAATTTAGAATAATACATCAGCAACAACACGCAATCATGTCCAAAATTGCAATCATGCTACAATTGAATGGGAATTGGGATAACTATGACAGATTTAGAGAATTTGAAGTTGATGCCATTGTGGTAGATTGAATCTTGAAGATTTGATACTTCAGAAAAAATTGTAGAAATCAAATACATGGTGAACGACAATTGTCCCCCAATGGAGATTAAGAATGATATGGGGGTTCGTGTATGTATGGAGACCAAAAAAGAGAATAAAAACTTAGGTTCATATCCGTTATGTATAAGTGTACGAGATTTCAATATGGAATTGACAATCACCAATGATAACACAAGTGCAGGTTTGTATAGTTCGAATTGCATAGAATTATAATTTTACGGTATTATCTACAAAATTACTACATTTACCTACAATTAAACTACAAATCAGTTTAATGAAAGAATAAAGCAATATTATTTTCAAAATTATCCACAAAGTTACTACATTTATACGACAAAATAAACTACAATCTATGATTAGAAATTGTTGATTTCAAAATGTTGTCTTCAAATAAAACTACAATATATGTTTAGAACAAAATCTAGTCAAATAAAATACAATCAGTTTAATTATGTACGAAGCAGTATTGTTTTCACAAATTTCTACAAATTGCAACAGTAATAGTACAATTTAACTACAATGTCTGACATCCTAAAATGGATGACTACAAAATTTTCACTATATCTACAAATTATCTACAAAGATTCTACAAAATTATAATGACACTGTTTATCTTTATTTTGATGCATGTTCGTCTGGATCCCTAAAGTTACTTGATATGCCATCCTCTCCAGCTATAGAGGAATATCAAAGTGAAATAATAACAGAATCTACGCAACTGCTATTGAAGAAGGACAAGTGTATCAGGACAAGCAAACTGTAGCTGCTGCAATGAAGCACTTTTCTGCGATGCACAAGTTCCAGTTCAGAGTTAAAAGATCTAGTCATAGAAGGTATGAAGATATTTGTGGAGAAAAGATCATTAAAAGCAGTGTTTTACTCAAGATATGTGTTTTTTAAACATTGTAGATAAATTGTAGTTACATTGTAGTTTATGTTACTTTATGTTAAAACAGTCCTTTTGTTGCATCTACATTTATAATCTGTATTAAATATTGTATTTTTTTTTTGTAGCTACTGGCTTGTATGCATTGGTGAAAACTGTAAATGGCACTTCAAGGCAACGTCAATTAATGATTCCGCAATGTTCAAGATAAGAAGTTTCAACCGACAACACACATGCTCCTTAATGGACAAAACATTCATACAACGCAAACGTACTACAACTGTAGTTGGTAGAATGGTCATTCCAAAGTATTGTGATCCTGAGACTGTTTACACACCAAAGGACATACAAACTGACATGTTATCCGAACACGGAGTGAACCTAAGCTACATGCAAGCATGGAGAGCAAAGGAAAAGGCTTTACAGTTTTTGAGAGGGAATCCGGCTGACTCCTACAGCAAATTACCCAAATATTTTTATATTCTTGAGGAGACTTATCCTGGTTTGGTTGTTAAATTGAAGAAGACAGCAAATGAATGCTTCTTATACGCATTTGTTGCTATTACATGGATGCTAGTATAGCAATAAGTGGTTGGCAACATTGTAGGCCAATAGTAGTGGTTGATGGGACATTCTTAAAGTCAGCCTACAAGGGGATTATGCTGACAACAAGCACCATGAGTGCAGCAGGTAAAAAGTGTAAAAATTTTGTAGTTATTTTGTAGGCAGTCTATAAAATGTAGATACATTGTAGTAATTTTGTAGTTATTTTGTAGCTATTACATGAAATGTAGATAAATTGTTTATATTATGAAGATATATTGTAGTTGTTATGTATTTATATTTTTATATACATTTTCAAAGCTGCCAATTAATATTTTATGAATTAATAATGTAGGTACAATATTGCCCTTGGCATATGCTGTGGTTGATTCTGAAAACGACGCATCTTGGAAGTGGTTCTTTGAGCAATTCAAGCAGGCATATGGTGAAAGACCTTCAATGTGTGTTGTTTCAGATAGGAATGAGAGTATACTGAAGGCAACATCAATTGTCTATCCGGGCATACCACACTACTCTTGCATGTGGCATATTTGGACAAATACAAGATCAAAATTCAAGAAGGGTCATCTATAATTATATGAATTGTACTTTGCTACAGCACGGTCATACACTCTGGATGAATTTAATGAAAGGATGTCGAAGATTGAAGAGGTAGACCCGCGTGTGAAATCTTACCTATATGATATTAGCTATCATAGATGGTCAAGAGTACATGCAACAGTGAATAGAACGTGGACAATGACATCAAATATTGCAGAGTCGTTGAACGCTGTAAAAAAGATGCAAGAGAGCTGCCGATATTTGACCTTTTAGAGTATATGCGGACACTACTAGAATGTTGGACCAACGAGAAGTTATTGAAGGCGAAGGGTACTTTCACATTTCTTGGGTCCAAATTCAACAAAGAATTAGAGAACAACAGAACATTATCTCAGAATCTTAGGGTAAGATCTGTTTATTTGGTGCAGAAAAAATAAATTACTTAATATGCAGTGTTTCTAGATTGTAAATAAATTGTAGTCAAATTGTAGATAATTGTAGGTTGTAGATAAGGTGTAGAATATTTGTAGATGATTTGTAGATAAGTTGTAGATAATCTATTTTTATGATTGAGATAATATTTTTTCTGTTTATTCTGCAATTGTAGGTGAGGGCTTCAACAGATCATATACATACTGTGTTAGATGGTGTGAAGCGGTACATTATGTGTCTAGAAAACAAGAAATGTAGCTATGGCCAATTCCAACTTGAAGAACTTCCATGTGATGCGCTTTGGCAGCATTAAGGCACATGAATGAAAAATATGAAAACTATTGCTCTCGTATTACACAAGGGAGAGCCTTCTGCGTACGTATGAAATACCAGTAAATCCTCTTCCTTATGAAAGCAAATGGAATGTGCCACAACATATTTTGGATGAGGTAGTAAATCCACCGACGGAAGATAAAAGGCAGCCAGGGAGACCTCAAAAGGAAAGATATAAAACATATGATGAAATAAAATCAAAGAAGTACAAGGTGTCATGTGAAAATTGTGGAGGTGAAGGGCATAACAAAAGATCTTGCAAGAATGTGCCCAAGAAGAAATGAATATCATGTAGTTAGAACAGTTATTCAAGCTAACTGTTAGTGAGTTAAAGTTAGCAGATTTTTTGTGTAATTATTTAAGTTTTTAAAGATCATCATGAAGTAGACTACAATTTGTTTATGTGTGTTTAATATGCTTTTATGTATTGTGTCAGCCATCTAAATTTGTATTTGATATAGTGTAATTAAATTTAATATTTATTATCTACAATACAACTGATATTAAAAAAGTAACTTTAATGTAAAGTGTTTCCAGATTGTAGGTAAAATATAGGTTAAATGTAGTTAAATTGTAGTCTTGGTAATAATTTGTAGATAAATTGTGGATAATATATTTCTATGATTGGAGTATTTATTTCTTCTGTTTGTTGTGTAATTTAACTTCAACTGACAGTTATATACAGAGATTACCTAGAACTTGAAGGTATTTCATAAAAATTATGAACAT